TTGGTAACCGGGTTAGTCTTAACTTGTAATTTAGGTAACAATTTGGGCTATGGCGCTTGTCATTTAGAGATAGTTCTCATATGCTATCTGCTGACAAGTTAAGAGTTTATCACTTACCTTCTAAAATGCTCAGTTGTAAAATTTTACATATTCTAGATGAGTTGTACAAAACCTAATAAAGTTAAGGCATGACTGCTGAATTATTAAAAAAAATAAAATAAAAAAAATAATACAAATGCTTTTATAGAAGTTTATAACAAATTTTTATAATTTAGGAAATAAATTACATAGCTGCTTATTTTTTTTATAGAGTTTATATCCAGATATAACCATTACCCTCTTCGATAGGGTATAAAACCAGTTACTATATTAGATTTTATTAAAGGTTTTAACCTTTTAGATTAAATGTTAACCAGGAATGACCACTAATACTATTAGTAGATATTGAACGCCTAAAATCTTCCAACAGTCTGACTGTTTATCCGTATTGATTGTTTAATCTAGTCAGCACTAATATAAATTTGACTAACATAATTTGGCCAGAACCATGAAAAAATTTTAGTCAGTTCAGCATAGAGATGCTAAACCAGATAATAATAAAATGTGTGTAGAAATCATCCAGGGCTATCAAAAGTGCTGTGACGTATCTAGATAGTTGGCCTGCATTGAACTAATTTAGGCTAAACCTTTAATTTGCTAAAAATAACTTTTTAAATTTTTTTTTTAAAAAAAATTCGGCCTGCTTTATAGTAAATTTTGATTTTTTGACCAACGAGCGTTTGTAGCTTCGTTAATAGATTTTTTTTAATTTTATTCTAGCTATGATGTAACTAGTGATATGGGATGGCTCTAGCGCAATGGGTGGGTCGATAGGCGGCTCAGTCCTCAACCTCATCTTCGTGGACTGAGTTGTTGATGAATGATAAATTAATTCTCTTCTAGGATTAAGAGGTTAAATGTAAATATTAATTAATTGGCTAATTTAAATAATAAATTGGCAAATAACGAACATAAAATAAGAAAAAACCAAGTAATAAGTAATTTGGTATCATTGAGGAACCACCTGATATGTACATATATTTTTTTACATGTTTGATATACATAGGTTGAATTAATGAATATAGGGTGTATACTGGGAGACAAATTTCCTGTTATATACCCGATAGTCTGCCATAGATCCGCCAAATAGCTGCTAAATATTGGCAGAATATTGGTAAGATATCGGGAGGTAGATCGATATTAGCAACATAACAGCAAAATCTTGGGATATCCTGATATCTTACTTATAGGCCCAGAATACTAAGAGTAAGATATCAGGGTATCCTAATAATGTGCTGTTATATTAACTTTGTGTGGCCTTATAGCGATGAGATCAAAAAAATTTATTTTCGTGTGGCTTGTAAGTCAGATGATAATAAAATTGCAACCCATAATAGGTCAAATTCCACCGATTCGCCGATATGGTCTCCTATATACAGTACCATTGTATGGTTTGTAGAAAAGACATAATTTAGATGTATATCATATAATAAGTCGAAGAAAGAGCCTTTTAGGTTTGGAAGGATTATTTCCACCTTGGTTTGTTCCCGTTGTATACAAGATTCGTGGGATAAAAAAGAATCTATCGAAGTGAAAGATGTGAATCTTTGCTAAATAAATTTAATATAGTCGAGCCTAATAAATCAAATAATTTTTATTTAAAATTATGTAATTTTTCAGGAGTATTTTAATTCTCACTGGAGATGAAAATTCACCGGGGTGCAATATCTCAGAAACATACTAAGTAAACGAGGTCGGGTCTTCTAAGTAAAAATGTTCAGGACCCTCGAAAACCTCGAGAACTGAAATCGGGACCTTATATCAAATCTACATTACACCTCTGGTTAAATCTAAAATTATTTTTAATTTTCAAATTTTGACACAATTTTTTATTAGATTATCGTAATTTATATGGTAACCTGCTATAAAAATCTGCTATTGTACATATTAACTATTGTAACATACAGGGTATATTAGTTTGTATTGGATTTAATGGAGTTGCTATTTACCTTCTTTATTGTGACATAAGTAATAGACAGTTATTAAAACTAGTAAAATAAAAATGATGTATTATTATTGTTTATAAGACTAGAGTTAACGTCAAAGCATATAAACTAAATTTACTTATTTATTATGCCTAATAACATTGATAATAATTCAAATGATTGTTCGGTTTCTCAAATTAATATTTTGGTGATCGACCTCGAGCAAATAAGAAATAAGAAAATACTATACTATTCGATGCAAGTATTGCTGATGAGGTCTTAGGGATTGAGAACAATAATTAGCTTAATAAAACTATATAATGAATGTTAAATGCTAATATTAATTAAATATACACATATAGATAAAAAACAGTGCTTAAGTAAATTTTTGCAACATCTTAATTCATATTTTATAGAAATGTATTTTGATAGTTTTTCACATTTTAGTCTAAACTTCAAAAATAATTTAAATAAATTAATAATATTATTTCATAATTAACTTATAATAAAATGTCATAATCAAATGTTATTGATTTTTCTTGCATAAACACGAACTAAATGATAATAAGTATCAAACTCAAATAGTTCATCCTTTGAAGCTTTAACCAATTCATCATATTCATCTTCAGAAACATTTAACGGTTTAGTTAATACTTGTTTAAGAGAAGTATACAAAGTCATCGTATTATTGATGGCCTATTTATTTTACATCGTGTTAAAAAAAAATTTAAGAACGACTTCTAGAACAATACAATTTATAAAATACATTACCACTTTACTAAGTTTAATATCATTTGATTTTAACCCATGACAGTATAGCTTATCTTCTTTTTTGATATTTTCTAATTGACCTAATTTAAAAAGCAATTAAATTAATTATTTATGAATTATAATATGTATATGTATGTATATAGTTAGAATATGTAGGGTTAAAAACCTTGGTTTTGTGCATATTCTTCTAACTTTTGATATGTACTAAAATCTACACCTTTTTCCTCCAGTACTCTTACGGCTTCAAACAATTAAATAGAACATAATGTAAGTAAAAAAAGATATTTAATTTATAAGATTACTTTATGATATGTACCTGTATACCATAGACGTTGATTAACAGGCCCAGTATCAAATAAGCTAGAAAATTCGCTTAACTAAATTGAAAAAGAATTGATCAAACCATAATCAATTAAAACATTTGCTGTATTTAGAATTCTTAGATGAAATTCACCGATAAAACTGGAATTAAGCTTTAAAGTTATCAAAAATTTTTGGGAAATCGAGTATTCGGTGAATTTCATCTTTGATGAAATGCTAATTTGGATTATCAAATAATGCAAATCTCAAATAAGGATACCTCTAAGAATCCACCTGGCTTTAAAACTCTGACTAATTCGTTTATTAAATATGGCCATTTTTCTTTTGGAACTGCAGCAGTCAAATATCGTTGAAATATAAAATCAAAAGTGTTATCATCGAACGGTAATCCTTCTGTAGCATTTGCTTTAACGAAAGTAAAATTTTTAGGTTTTATCTGTTTCGTTTGGTATGGTGATACATCTAATTCAACAACTTCAATCAATGGATATCTAAAAAGAATTATAAATATTTATTAGCGTAATAAGAACTGAGTACAGTCTGATGCATTGCTGAGAATATTCTACTTCGGATTTACATAAATAATCATACTCACGTAGTTGCCATATCAAATGACCACGAACCTGCGCTACACCTAAAATGAAATACGTATGAGTGCAATTTTAGTGCTAATTTTTTAATATATATATATGTACTGTATATAATTTAGAATTTTATAGAAATTAATTATATATGTCAATACGGAAAGAGCATAAAAATAAGGTTTAGGTTAAATTTTAAATTAGATTGTTTAGACCAAAAAATTATGAAAATAAATAAACCCAGTTTATAAACTTATTATGCGAATGAATTTCGCACGTGAATAATAATTCTCATAGATCAAAATAAATTAAATTTGCCTCTTATATTTAATGAAAATTCATAACCATTAAAATAGTTTAAAAAATTTCACTACTGTATAACACATAATTTATGAATTTAAATTGGTCAAATTTCATTTAATTTCATATCATGATAACATTTACGTACCCAACATCTAGAAAATATGTTCGACGGGAGCAGAAAAGTTGCTATTCCAGATATATCTTGCCAAAAAATGTTGCAAGTGTAATCTATCTGATTCTTCTTCATCATTTGGTAGAGGATATACAATATCTTGTGCATTAGGATATCTTCTACCGTCAATGTATTGAAATTCCATTTGCGAGCTTTGTGATTTGATAGAATCAGATTTTTCACTTAATTTAGATGTAATGCATCCCATACCAATATCACTTTAGATAATTTTGCTATAATTAAATTTAAAATAAAAGTTCAGGAAATCGAATTTTTTGGTTTTTAAACGCTAAAGAATTTAAGTAAATTTTGTAATTAAAATTGTTTATCCGAAAAGGGTTCACAAAATTAGTAATTATTTATTATGCTTTGTCGATTTGTTTTGGAATCATTGATACAACAGATCGGATTAATTTGTACACATTACTTGTATGACTTAAATAATTTAATGCACTGCACGTAATTATAACATTATATGAACTTATAATCGCGAAATTTAAACTCTTTTAGATGTAATTAGCAATAAAATCAGTCTAAGGGATCGAAAATTTCTCTGATTATCTCGTTGCTGTATGGTTTGAAGTTTTACGTGGATCATCAGGCATTCATTTGGGATTTGTTAGTACGAGTGTAAATGAGTTCATTCACGAAAGTGTATTTTAAATTTTGTGACTCTTTACTACAATTGTTTTTCATAAATTTAATTCGATCATCAGAAAATTTATTAGTTGTATTGGAAAACATACCGAACCCTTATGATAATTTGTGAAATGCATTTTACTTTGATCTTTATGATATTTACACATAATCATTATTAAAAATAAAAAAATTTAATCATTATATAATGAAGCATTTCTGAAAACAAGTAATCGAAATGTAGTTATGCATGATAAATACTGCAAAAAGAATTTTGTAATAATTGATAATAAAAAGTGAACATATACCGGAAACGTGGTACAAAATTTAGATTAGACGTTGTAATTTAGCGATTTTCATTGACATAATGATCTATATATTATTCAAATGTTTACTTACCTTTTTAGGCTAAAAAAAGAGCACAGAAAATTGCCGCGTAATATATCGATATGTTCCGCATTATTTTTAAATACGATTATTATCAACATGTGTCATTCATAAGAAATGAATATGTTACAGTATTATTCATTTGTCGATTAATGTGCTTTGCAAAATTGTGTGATTCTTATGATTATTATAGCAGTTTCTGCTCACTTCACTGACAATTAATTTACCGACAATTTTATTTCACCGATACTTAATTCACTTACAATCACTCATCGACAGGCTTAATTCGAGCAGTATCTTTATGATGAATACTGGTTAGGGTTAAGGTTAAACGATAGTATAATTTAGGCTGATTTGAAGTGAATTAAGCTTGTCGATGAATTGTGTTGGTAAATTAAATTTGTCGATAAAGTGAATATGCGGGTAAAGTGAATATGTCGGTGAATTATTTGTTAGTAATTTAAGTGTCTGTAAGATAAAACTTATCGGTGAAGTGATACGTATCTTTTGCAAAAAAGTGTGAACTTGTGTTTTCGTGGTGACAATGGCTAGAAACTTCTGAGATTCTAAATAGTCTATCAATCATATATTCAATTGGCAATATTAGGCCACACAAAGTTGATTTCATTTTAAATCCATTTTTCAATTTCATATGGTAAACTTGTTTTATTATGAAAAATAAAACTGGTTCCAAATTTTAGCCAGTTATTCTATTTTGTTATTTATTTTTTATTTATTTACATTTTCTATAATTAATCTGGTATCGCCCGATAGAGCTCTTATTTTCCGGATTTATCCGATAGTAATGATGATTCCATGTAATGCAAAGCAAAGAGTTAACTTTGTGTGACCTTAGATGTGAACATGAGAACACTTGTTTAATTTACCGTAATTAAAAAATCCGACCCGACCGCCCAATCGGAGAATTTTATAGTAACTCATGATAAAAATCTTGGTAATTCCAATATAAACTAATTTACCTTTTTGTCAATACTAGAATAGCGAATAAGTTTTAATATAATTTTTACAATAATTCATAGTTGAAATTATAATAATATATGGGGTCTTTGCCTTGAACGGTATCATGTACCGTAAGGTCATTTTCAAGGCAAAGACCCCATATTCCAATACAAAATTCTATACTGATGTATTACTGGAATAGAAAGTAAATTTTTTATAGTAATTTATGATAAAAATCACAATAATTTCAATGTAAACCAAATATTAATTAAATTGATATTATGGTCGAGTAAATTCTGTTTCAATTTTTTACAATAACTTATGCTAGTGACTAACTCAATCTTCATATAATGTGTCTCAAAAAGCAAGTTTTGTAATAGAGCTTTTTCTAACTCAATAGAAATTATGATAATTTTAGCATGAACTTCAGCAACTTGCAATAGAAATTACGGCAACTCAATAGAAATTACGATAATTTCAAATCAAACTAATCAAATCTCAATCACAGAAATTAGGATAATTCTAATACAAATTAATTCAAGCTTATCATTTTTTTGATTTAGTTAGATCGATGAATTTTGCAGATTTTTTCTTTTTATTTTTGTTAATGGGTCCCATGAATCAATAAATTTTCGAGTCTTATCATACATTTTGCATGTATATTATTTGGTAATTTCAATACACAACCTTAACTATATAAAAACAATAATAATTAAGTCATCAGAATAGCAAATAACTATTTTATTATGAAATAATTCTACCTTGACTAAATAGAAGTCTTGCTGATTCTAATACAAACAAACTCAGCCTCAATTATATACTGTATCAATAGAATATAAGTTTTATACAATTTTTTACAGTAATTCACAACAGAAATTATGACAATTCTAATGTCATGTAACAATTTTTTTAATAATAACTTACAATCTAATCATGATAACTCTAACCACATACTGAAGTTATAATAATTCAAAAATACTAACTCAATCTCAACTATATAAGAATCACAATAAATCTAATTCAGCCTTAATCACATAATGTGTAGCGAGTATTTAACAAAGTTTTTTAAAGTTAATCAATTTATCCTTGGCTACATACGTATTATATGTCATTGGAATAGTGATTAAGTTTTGTGAAAACTTTTTTTTTACAATAACATGATAAATATCACGATAATCCCAGTGCAAACTACCTCAGCCTTAATCACATTTATAAACAAAATAATACACTCTACCCTCATTATAATGGACTCCGATATAGCGGATACCTTATTATAACAGAGTAATTTTCTAAAACAATCTCAAGTTATTATTATTATATTATATAACATTATAATGAATATCAGCCCGAAGGGACCATTATAACGAGGGTAGAGTATAGTAAGTAAAATTTTATAGAAATTTTTACAGTAGCTTATTGCTCTATAAAAATTTTTCAAAAAAGCGTATCCTGGCTTTCTCGGTAAATCTTGGGTAGAAATTAGAAATCAAATCCAGGTAAGATTCTGACTTTAAAGATTCGCTTAATTACCCCCAATAAGTCAATTCGTAGAGTATTAATAGTCTAATCCCGTAATTTCGAATTGGCCCTAACAACTCAGACCAAGTCTTTCTGCTCCTCTTTTGTGCCTACCACTTTAGGGTTTGATAGAGTTGAGTAGTTTAGTGTGTTGTTTAGTGTGTTGTTTAGTGTTAGTTGATACCCATGAGGTCCATGTTTTGAGTTTCCAGATTGATTTACCTCTCACAAAATACAATACGTATAAATATCATAATACACTTAGATAATAATTTATGTAATTTTTAATGGCTTTTCGTAAGAAAGGTGAATGCATTAATTTTCATCCCAATCGAGATGTTGAATATCAGTCTGATTCGAGTGTTTCATGACTATGAGAAAAGACATTATTCGATGAGAAACTTGCAATTACTGTACGAAATTTTTTGCTATCATATCCGATTGCGTAATTGTGAAGTACGCTTCCGAACAATATCTATGCGTTGATTTATGATAGTATTTAGCAAGGTACATTCTCTGGGTTTATTAAGCATTTATACGTTGCACTACTTTCTTTGGGATCCTAAAAAATATTTTTAGTATACCTAAGTGCTTTGAAACTCATCTTACAAAACCGAAAGCCAAAAATCGTACCGAAGGCCAAACTTAACTAAGGCTGAGGATATTATTTCTAGAAAATAGAGTGTCCTGTACATTTTTTATCAATCATTACGGTCACATGCAAATGTAAGTCTCATGACTATGAGAAAACTCATTCGGTGGAAAATCTACAATTCCTACTGTATCCTAATATTATAAAATTAATATACTGCCACGAGTGTAATCTATATTTTTCTCCAATCATTTCGATCACGTGAAATAAGTACCTTTTACTTTGTTGCATTGAACAAATTACGAAATGTGCAGCATTTAAATCACTATCTATCGTTCTTAACATTTTTGGTTGTATTTAAGAGTATACCGGGAACTCAATAAAACTAAGTATATGGCTTATTGGATTATACCTTAGCACAGGTCACGGATTTTCACATAGTATTAATTTTGGAAGCCGATTTTCTCGCAATAAGCTAACCTTTTGTTACATATCCTACTATATCTTTTGTCACAAGTCTACTGTGCATTTTTGTCAATCATTTTGTTCACATGCAAATTTAAGTCTCATGACTATGATCAATTACGACATAATTACCGAATCGTAAAATTTTTTGCCACTTGCAAAATGATGTATCTCTGATGAAATTTGGCATTAGATCTATTACATAGTAAGTTGGTTTATTATTTTAGCAACAAATGGATTCATAATTTATAATATTAGTAGTTGGTGTGTTAGTGATTTCAATAGTTGGGTGAATTTATAATTCGACATTGGATAGGTTCCCGATTTCGAAGGTGAATGGTTCACAATTTGGTAAAATTGTATTAAATTTTTTTTCTAAGATCATCGCAATTCGGCTAACACAGCATGATTGGTAAGCAATCAATATGGCGTGTGAGCATTATAATGAATTGAAATTTTTAAAATTTATATCATTAGTTAAGTTTCAATTTGTATTTAGTGGGCCTTATTAACACTTGTACTAAGATATCCTTGATCAAAGTTTTAAAATTTATAAATAAAAAAATTATTTTACCTTTTTAAAATAACATTATATTAATTATTCTATATTATGTGATTATATATTTATATAAGTGCTAGTAAATTGGGTA